CAAATTAATGTGTTATAACGCCACCACACATAATCATTCAGACATTTATTAGAAGGAAGTAAAGAAATTATTACCCGTTGATCAAAAATGGTTACACCAGAAAAGTTTCGCAATTTAATACCTGTGTTAACATACACGCAGGACATACCAAAAGAAGAACTTGGTCTTGAATTAAGTACGGAAGATCTTAATTATCCAAACTTTCCATTAACGGAGGAGCAAATCCAATGGGAACGGGAGTAGGAACAGCGCAACGAAGAGACAGAAGAACTTAGAAAACAAAATCAAAGGACATTGAAACATTAGCATATTTAGGTAAATCTGAATCCATTCCGGATGATACGACACTGGATGAAATTTTAAAACAAGCTCGAAGAGCCGCGAAAGATATGTTAAAAATGTTGAATTTTGAAATGGATTTCCTTCGACAAAAGAAAGATGGGAATACCAGTTTACAGTTCATAGTACCGGGAGACGGCGTAATTCCACGAACTAGTCAAACACCAGTATCGTTGGTGCTGTTCATAGGTAAATTGAACAACGGTATAGGATCATTAGTAGGATTTCGAGAAAATAAAAGAAATATGTCGAATCAGGAAACAAACTTCGTGTATCAGACATACGCCGATGAAACTACTGTACAATACGCAGAATCCACATTAGACTTTGCTAAATCCGGTGACTTACGTTAAATAGGATCGATGATCTGTTGAACATTATGTCAGGAAGAGATCACAGAGAGAGTGAGAAATCCCACAAAAAAGAACATAGACTCAAAGAAGTAGAAGAGACGAAAGAGCATTTAGAGAAACACATGCAAGATGTTAATCGCAATATTCCAACTTTGGACGGTGTAAACGTTAGCATCGATTAATTGAAAACGCTATCAGAATCAGGAATTGACGTTTCGTTTCTTAGAAAATATGGGTAATTATATTCAAAAACATTCAAGTTTCTGTAAGTAATAGCAGTCTTAACTTTACCCTTTTTTTCCAGAAGAGGAATTGAAGAGGAACGAGGAACGCGCAACTCTACAGAGACGATTGCACGACACGTCGCAGATGTTAGGCCGTTTAAAGCAAGTGCAACACGAACGGCTTTTGGCCCCACCGCCTGCTGATTTATTCATATTTCCTAAACCATCAGACACGGAAATGGTGATAGCCGACAGAATTGCGATAATTTAACAGAGATAGCGAAGAAGCTTC